AAGACAGCCTCGCCCTCATGATGGACGCAGCAAGAATCTCTGAGACGTTTACAAAACTTCTACCCGAACTACACGACAAAAGAGCTAGCCGCCTCGAGAATCTGGAAACCTGCCAAAAATTTCCTACTAAAATATTTTATAGTCTAGCGGTTAGAACGCTGGCCTTGTAATCCTGGAGTCTCGGGTTCGATTCCCGGCGGTGCCAGAATTTATAACTTATGTTGGGCAAGGCCGTGGTCTAGGCAACACGAAGTTTTCCTCCGGGGGCTTCCCCGGTTTCTCCGTGTCATCCCAACAATTACTCCATTCACACACAGAAGAAGGCAATGGCAAACCACTTCTGGATCATCTGCCAAGAACGTATATGAACAGGTCCCAGTCCGAGAAAAGGATGGAGTGGGCTTCCCCGGTTTCTCCGTGGCATCCCAACAATTACTCCATTCACACACAGAAGAAGGCAATGGCAAACCACTTCTAAATCATCTGCCAAGAACGTATATGAACAGGTTCCAGTCCGAGAAAAGGATGGAAGGATCCTGTTCATACGGACCTGTCGTCAGACAGAACACTAAATAAATAATAAAACAATGCATAACTGCGTCTATCGAAAAGAAAACATCTTAACAGAGCTTTGTGCTTGCTGTCTCCTAGACGCGGACTGATACAAGAGCATTTTATGTAATTCTAATGATAAAATGACGCAATACAAGGTTTAAGTAATAAGTAAAACAATTACATTTCTAGTATTTAAAATATGTGTGGTTTTTATATATATATTAATACTGCCTTTAATTTCTTACGCATGACTACGTAGTCAATTTATATGATTCACAATTATGTTAGCCTGCGTAACTAGAACGAACAATATTTATAATATTAATATTAAAAATTACCTGCAGAACCACAACTTGTAATTTTAAAAATATTTAATTTTAATCTGTAATTCTTAATTTTAATTTTGTAATTTGTAAATTATAGTCAATAGCAAATCACATATACCTGCGCTTAAGGAAACTAAATGTATCTGCGAAGACATGCAGATGATTGATTGTGAGTGATTCAAACGTTTTCCCAGAATCTAATTTTATGTTTCTAGTAACATAAATATAATGCTAATATAGGCTGCAAAGAATTTTTATTTCCGGCCAAATTCTTGCACGCATCTCTCATCTCTCCCATGCACCCTGATCGTCTCATATTCTTAGATTATCGTTATGGTTTCTAATGATAAGTAAAAATTATGTTGATCCTCATTACGTAATTATTCCAACCTGCTGATTTTTCATCCCTCTTGGGTCTAAATATTCTCCTCGGCACCCTGTTCTCAGACACCCTCAGTCTACGTTCCTCCCTTATTGTCAGAGACCAAGTTTCACACCGATACAAAACTACAGGTAAATTATGGTCTTGTGTTTTACTAAGTTAGAATGGTAACTAGAGGCATTTCTTCAGTATGCCGAATTTGTATTATTTCGATTACAGTATATTCATGTACCATAAGCTGTAATGGAGGTTCTCATTCCCCGACATAACCGTGCCCCACGTCAATCTGCTTGTGGTTCAGACAACTCGTTTGGACTTCCTCCCAACCTCGTGCCCTGGAAAGCCCGGCCATGGCAATGATCTCAAGAGACTGATTCGTTATGGTAACGGACGGCCGTTAGCGATTGTTCAAGAGCTGTGTAGCGTCACTAACAAGTAGCCTTGACAGCCGTTCTTCATGCCATTTCCGGTACGTGACACTGTAATTTCATCTCAAAACGTAAAACTTTCATCTTGTGTTAAGGAACTCCACTACCAGTGGAATCGTCAGTAGAAAAATCCGCTGGGAAATTTAAGATTCCGGCCTACCGTTACCTAACTGATGGACATCTTCAATCATTCTTTGCATGACGTGTATTTTTCAACCAGAGAAACGCTAGACGGAATTGGATGAAACGTGATAAAATTCGGGACTACCCTAAAATCTTGCTTTTAACACTCATATGGTGGACAAACAAACTAGGGCCTTGCGGTCATGTATAATGGCAGATTTCCGGAAAATAACAAAAGTCTGGTACAATAATTCAATTTCACCGGGCTTCGATCCTGTAACCCCGTGTGTACGAGTGCACAGAGCTAACGTGCCGTATGACGTGACATTATTGATTTTCGGTACTTACAGAAGACTTTAATATCACTTGATTTGTATAGTTCGAAACCAGAATTGTCTAAGTAATCAATCTTTTATTAATAATTCAGAATCTGCAAAGAACTCATGTCTGTATTCTGGTACGGAATACACTCTTCCAGTCTTGTTTATAACAGATCGGTCCTCTATCCACTTGAAAAAGAAAATTGTCTAAAAATTAGTTAAAAATTCAGTCCGTACCGAAAAGAAAACACAAAACTTAACCATTACAAAAATCAAAACCAACAAATATAAAATGTACGGTTACTGAATACTGAAGCAGGTGGGACAAATAGTTACCAATCGGGCATGTTCATTGCTATTATGAAGGTAGTCTGGCGAAGTTTCGCTCTTATATTTCGGCAATAATGACGAGCCACTTCTGCTAGATCGCCAAAGCAAGAAGCAGTGATCGGCAATTTTAAGGTTATTCGCCATTGGCTTCATCCAGTCACTATGACTTAGCAAATTCTAGAAAGCACAGCATACTTCCTAAGTATCACATGATTCTGTGTATGTTTTATTTTCCTCAGTGACGTTATACATTTTTTTGTACATTTTTGGTTTTTATAATGACGTAGCTTTTTCATTCTTTGGCATTCGGCGCGATTGAAAATAAATGATCATTCATATGACTAGGCATCTACGAATTGCTCAGGAAGAATACTCAGCGACCCGAGAAGTGAGGCGTCTTCACCTCAACGCAACTCTAATTTTTGTCAATGAAGAGCTCAAATTGAATCCAAAAAGAAAATATTATCTTGACTTTTTTTCTCGCTGGCATTTCATTAAAAGAAGTTAAGGCGAGTGTGGGAACTGCAGTAATAAATCCAAATTACGCGGGAATTAAGAACAGACCAGATTCTGGAAAGATATGAAATCAGTTATTCAATTGAGACCTTCAGTCTTCGCGTATCCTCTCTGAAGAGACCAACGAAACTTTGGTGGTGTTCTATATGGGTGTGAAATTTGGTCTTTTATCCTAAGGAAAGAACATAGATTGAGGTTTCTTTTTAAAAAAAGGGTGCAGAAGAGAATGTTTGAGCTCAAAACAGCACAATGAGAAACTTCATAATTTGTACTGTCAACAAACGTTGTTACGGTAATCAAATGGACCACATGGAGGGTGAGATACAAAAGAAGAGAAATTAACACAGAATTTTAATTGGAAAACGTGAAGATCAGTTGAGGGAGAAAGAACCAGTCGCATTTCCTCCACAGAGAAAGGTGAATTTACAAACACATGATTCGGTCTCCAAAACCTCGTTTGTGGAAACGATATTTACCAAGTGAATATGAAATTGGAAAATAATAGGATTCGATCCACAGACCCCAAGAAGAAATCAATTCTGATGGCACTACGCAATTCGACGGCGCCTTAGCAGAAGAAATCAAAACCACGAGTCGCGATCACTGAAGTGTTTAATTATTGTTATTGTAACTCTTACGTAATGGACCTCGTTTTTCAGAGACCGCTACCTCGCACCGATAAGTCCACGCTCATATTACGTTATGTAAACAACGTTAGTTTGAGAGGAGGGCAGAGACCCGCGGATATTATCTGGAACTTGCAATGGGGCCAAAGTGCACACGAGCCAGTGCTGTTTGCATTCCTCTTGCCCATTCACTTTCTACTCAGATGTAATTAAAAGACAATAAATTACCACAAATAAACGAAATCAATTCTTCATTTCCCACTTCAAACAATAAATTACCACAAATAAACGAAATTAATTCTTCATTTCCCACTTCAGCCACTCCCGATTCATATTTCATTCTGAAACTACAAAATTACGTGTTGCCTTTCAAGAAGCTTGTAAACCGCTTGCATCTGCCCAGCTTCCATGACTTAAGTCCCGTAGAATGTAACGTCTACATAGGAACTTGTATATTTGGTGGGACTCCTTCAACTGGCGACCGGCCTATTGCAACGCAACGCTGAAAAACGCGGATATGAACCATGTCCAAAGCAAGGACGGTTTCACTAGATTGGGTCGTAGCAGCGCGATCAGTCTGATCCCCTGGGTTCGCTGGTGTCGGCAATAACAACGCGATCTCTGCATCAGGAGCACGAGCTCAAGGACCAGCATAGTGTGGACGCATCTACGAACAGCGCAGTCATTGCGGTCGGCCAGGTTCAAGCATTCAGGTCTCTAAATTCGAACCACCGACACTGTTACTGGCATGCCACTAGAAGACGACATGGAGCGATATCAAGCCAGTGACCGATGAAGACGAGAAAAAGACTCTGGCCGTCAATAGAAACATTATTTGTCCGTAAACTGTATCTTATAAACAAGAATTTATTTATTCTTGACTTAGACAAATAAAGCTGGTTAGTGAATTAGGAATTATTTGCTGAGTTGAGTCCTTCTTCACATGGGGCCACACTTCGCGTAAGATGACACTGCTGCACACTGCACAAAACTTTGAAACAGCGCTTTACCGACTTTGGTTTACATTACAGTACCCGGTTCATAACTCCACAATCCCCTTAAATCCAGAATCATGAGTCTGACCGGTGACACAGGTGACGGGAAATTCCGGTATTCGGTCAAATGTAAAAACTTCCAAAGTCGCATCCCTTCTGGGTATCTTGGGGCTAGTGTACATAAGACGCATTCAAAATTTACCGCCACTCTCGTCGAAGAGACCAGTTTCTGACTTTCGGTTTCTACGGCGATTAAGATGATGACGTGTAGACTCCTCGGCGAGTCGACGTCGAGTCTACACGGCGACAGAATTCAAAATAACAGCCAAATGAGACTTATTTCAAAATGATGGCTGGCTACTGAAACAACCCTAACATATGCACGTATGTGTGTTCCAGGCGCCTTCGTCTTAATGGCCCTGGGAGTTCTCTCGATGGCTTCCGCCTGCTTCATCCTCTTGGTGCGACCGTACGACCTCATCTTCAGAGTGGTGAGTGGGAACTGATCAGCCTCAAAGTTGACACAGCTACACTCGCAGACGAGTGTCAGCCATTACAATATAGACAACAATTCAGAGCTGAACGTTAATCTGTTCACAGGAACTTCGTGATGAAAAGAGATCATCCGGTATTGTTAAGGTGGTGGCATGCAGATTACGAGGGACTGGACATGTAGATCGTAAGGACTTATCCGTTTTATGTAACGAAACTGTCAGTGGTTCATCATTTAGGCTACAGCGTTCGTTGATAAGATGATTAACGGAAAAATTTGGGACGTTTACCGAATGAAGAATTAATGGTCTAATTTGAGACTGTTCCGGAATCTGACTGAAAGGACTGAGGAAAACTAAGGAAACCCTCAGTTAGTGTGAAAATGAGTGAGGCTCGTGTCTCAAGACAGGTTTCTTTTAAATGACGAGTCTTCTGCGTTTACTCCAAAAGAGTTAGGTAATTCAAATATTGGTATTATCTCTACATCAGATGTATTTGCCAAAACTCGATAACCTGAGTCTAGCTGTGACATTTCTTTGACACTAAATTTCCCTAATGCTAACAGTCTTGCAGCCAGGACACAATTGCTAAAGTTTTTCGGCCGAAACAGGAGCTCGCGACAGTTACCAGTGTATGTTGTTGCAGAAAGTGATGCTCTCGCCGGGCGGCGAGACATTCGAGCTGTGGCGGAAGCCCCCAGTTAACCTGTATCTTCGGATCTGGCTCTTCAACGTGACGAACAAGGAAGCGTTCATGGCAGGGAAGGAGAAGCTCCGCGTACAGGAGACAGGGCCCTACGTTTACAAGTAAGTCCGCCTATACTGAAATAACACACACCCGAACACGTCGAAGCCAGACCGTTGAATTATTCAGACAAACAGATTAGAAGAGCTGAATTCTGGCATCGGCAGTGTTAAGTTACTTGCTCAAAGGGTTTCTGAATACAAATTTCAACAGACGATGATGAAATATGGAGGTCTCCCCTGTTTGAAAGCGTCTCCTTTTCCTGATTGACTCTGGACGCGTCTACTTTTCTAAGACAGGCCATGCTGTTTTACAGGGAGCTGATGGAGCATTACAACGTCACCTTCAATGACAACGGCACCCTGACGACAATTCCGCGACATCCGTTGGTATGGGAACCGGAGATGAGCGCTGGCAAGGAGGACGACGTCCTGGTGCTACCCAACATCGCACTTCTGGTGAGTAATGACCGCCTTCCAAGCTGCATCGAACCTTCAAAACGTAACTTTGTTGTTCTATGATGGGGTGATACCATCCATTGTCCATCCTCCAGATAAAAGATACAAGAAAGCAGTACATTTATGCTCACAGGGGATAAATGAGGGACTGGGTGACAAACCTGTAGCAGTGCCATTTTGTCCACCACAAATACTACACAGAATGCCCCGGGAGCGAACCCATGCTTCTACTATGAGAACCCGGCGACTAACCACCTGAACTTAACGAAAATTTAAGAAATCTCAAAATGCTAAACTGGACATGGCTACTTCCCTTCATATAAGTATTACCAACTTGTGAAGTTGGAGATACGTAGTCATAAACAGCATAAAACACATAAACTTATTACTAGTAATCATGGATAGATGTGTATTATTCTGTTAAGTTATAACGTTCCAATGACCTCTTGTGGCACCAGCGTGGCTTGTCTTCAATGCAGGAAAAAAGGCTTCGCTCATATAAATGTCTGCTCAAAATACATCAACGTCGTTCTATTGTGACAGGCTGTTCAGGGGACAGACATGTTAGTGGTACTTAAATAACTAATGATTCTCATGAAATTTTGTATTAACGTTGTGCCGTGGGTGACTGATGAGATAAGATATTTTCTAAACTTCTGCAAGCCTTCAAACCATCGACACTTTTGTTCAAAGTAGAGAAGTGGGATAGTGCAGCATTAGACGTTGCCTTTGGTGGGCCGCCATTTTAGATCTTTTCGAGAGTAAGAGAGCGAAACGTAGGTCTCTGCATGTGTAATGTATTATTCATAGCGAAAACAACGAAATCAGGAAGACGTGTCATATATTTGGGCTGTAGAGTGAATTGGCTGAAATTCTATCATGGCCGAAAGCCATCCTGTAAAGAATAAGTTTATGGAAGCAATCAGAGATGTTCATTCTCTACTTAAACATGGGAGTTTGCACAGGAAGGGTACTTGAACACAAGTGTTACGGAGAATAAGATATTCGTAATCAATGGACATATATGTCCACATCGAACAGGCGTGTGATTGAAAAAGATACATTGACACTTACGGGTAGATTTTGAACAAATGTATAAATAAGAAACGCCTTAACATTTCCATTTAGATTTTGTTTGTTTGGTTTCGAAGCACTGACATAAAAAGCCATGACAATGATCGTAAGACATATTTTTAGACTGAGACGAAAATGATATAAAGATGGATTTGAGAGAGACAGTTGTAAGGACGATTTCTTACTGATTGAGCAGGAAAATTCAAGTACCTACATACCAAAAGGCTATACAAACGACGTCCATGCTCTTAAAAAGTTTATGTCTATAACGTCTTGTAATGGTTTTACTCAATGACTCGTCCGTGATAACAAAGCCCACGTATCTCCCACGCGTGTTTGGTGTTGTTCACTGAGGCCAAGGTCAGAAAAATTATGGCTTTTAGTGCAGGGCGGAATCAGTTCTGCAAGACAGATTTATCTGTGCGGAAATCGCATCCCATTGCCATGCTGTTCACGGCCGGTTACCGAGTCGCCCATCCACCTTCCTTTGAAGGCAAATGAACGATGAAACTGCTTTAGAATGGTGTAAATACTACTGGGCTGTACTGATGTAGATCAGAGAAGTGGCTGGCTGTACGGCCGGGGTTCGATTCTTGCAGGAAACAGCACAATTTTCTTCGCCACCGAATCCAGACCGACTCTATCGACTTCCATCGACATTCGACTTACGTTTTCACAGCGGTGATGGTCAATACTGTCCTTTCCTTTCGTGTGACAATACAAAAGTCCTACAGGTGGTTGCAAAAGTTTCGAAGGAACATATTTCTTCAATCTTCGGGATAAAAGTGACACTATCTGGAAATGAACAAGTGTCAACTCCGTCTTCCACGTCTCTGTGGTCTTCTGAGACAACAGTGTACTGCATCTCCCGCTGCAAAATTCCTTGTTAAAGCCGGTGGTATAATTAGCAGCCTATAGACGGTTTCCAGTTCTGTTACTAGTAAAGGCTTATTCTATGGGTTACATGTACTTGTTGCGTTATTTCCACCTTCGTAAACCACCGGGCACAAGAATCACGTCTTAAATTCGAAATAAGTTGTGCTTTTATGCGATGATGCAAAGGGCAGTAACACCTCAGCTTGTTTCAAGCTGTCACTTACTTCGTAAGCTCTCCACACAAAGCGCGTCTCTCACTGTTTCAAACTACCACCTGATACTTACACGAATGGGTCTGTGTTCGGGAATTAATGGATGCATGGATCGTTATCCGGATGCCATCTTCATCCTCAGTCCATTCAAGCAAAAACCACGAAAATGTATTATACTTCTGTAATTTACTGTTGTAGCGTCACCAAATTGCATGCTTGAATTCAAAGCAAAATCATTCACGAAATGTCTTAAACTAACCCAGAATTGTCCACAAACCCGGAATATTTCAACGTTCTGTTTATTCTTGAAATAGGATATAATCAATAAACTTCTCGCTGTACTCCTGTCTGGTCATCAGCTAACACGCGAAGACCTAACAACGGAACAAAAAGCTAGTCAGTGATGCTCCTTCGACTTTGGACGTAGTGGTTAAAACGCCGTCCCTGAACTTCGGGGAGTACAGCGAGAACGTAATGTCCGAGAGGATTCTCGTCCATCGAGTAGTATAAGTGGCTCTTCTTGGCGTCCATTCATTTGGTGACAACATCAAAGATATAAACTCCTCCAATTTTATTCCATTATTTCTAAACTTTATAAAGAGAAACAAAACGTAAGCAGTTTGACACACAAAATAAACGAGAGGGAGGATATAATCTGACCATCATGCGTTCAGTTTATGTCAATCTTTTAAAGAACACATTAAAACCAACCGTGGCCTTCTATACATTTCGATATTCGTACCCAACTAGCAGATGCACAGGATGACAATACATTTGCAGGTTTTAATTCTAAAGACTTCTGACGATGGTATCGTATTACAACAAGTAATACTCGGTGTCTGAACTCAGTTCATCGTCCTCAGGTGAAAAGTTGGGTCCATTCTAAAGAGCAAATGCTACTCGCTGGATTACTGAATTAATATCAGACCCAAATGAGTAGGCACATCCCACATTATCACCTGAAGCCAAAAATAAATCCACTTTCCAAAACGTCTCCATTTGGAAATACTGGATTATGTGCAAAGCCTAGATACCCAGCAATACTGACAAATCTTTAGTTTATTTCTTCACAGTTCATAACACGAGCTGATCGGGAACTGCAAACATTAAAAACAAGCCTTAGAAATGTGTTAAAATGATTACATAAACATTAAAGTTTTTGGTCAAATCAGTTCACACTGTCAGCCCTAGATCAGCCCGAGGGCCAGAATTCCAGCCGCGAACGCTTCGAATCGACTCTTAAGATACAGGCCGGCCACTCTCGCAGTTGCATGGAACCGTTACGGCGCCAAGCGTCTCCTGGTCGAAAACAAGAGAGAGATCCCTCCCTCCCGTCAAGTGCAGGGAAAGCCTCGATTATAATTAACATCCGTGCATCTGACACAACACACTATTGGCGAAGTTCGCCGGTCAATCAACCAACAACTTCTTCACGCACTCAACACACGGCACTAGGCGTGTCAGATTTCCATTCTCATTCATTAAAGTTTACTTCTCTCTTGTTTTTCTGTCTTCCGTTTTCTAGATTGTTTTTACTGTCATATTTAATTAAATTCCTTCCACTTTATTTCCTAGAATATTGGGCAGGTATGCACTAACTTTTAGTTCAAAGGGCCACATTGGCAAATATTCATTTTCTGTGAGAGACATATTCAAAAGAACATTCAATTGTCACTTTTAAACCTTGTATAAACAGCCTGTTATATAATCGACAAAACACATTTTACCTGACGACAGAATCGACGGAAAGCCAGTAGACACAACGTCACAGATATGTCGCCGACAGTTGAAATCAATAACGCAGAGACGTCCTCTTCGAAATGTAACCTAACCTAACATAACCTTGCCTAACATGACCTAACCTAAACTATCCTGCCAATGAAAGCGTCGCCAAGCTCTCGTACCTACGTCGAGAAAAGGCTCCGAGCAGACTAGATGAACTTGGCAATGAATTTTTACGCGGAGCTGAAGAACAGACGCTGAACTTCGCGGCGCCGTCTAGGAAACGAGTGTCAGACCTCCAGCAACTCCGGAACCAGCAGTTCATGAGGAATTGCTCGAAGAGACGTCAATAGAAACGAAATAGGAAAACCGACGCCGACTGTCACAAAGCGTATCTCCGAGGCGCCTTCAAGGGAGAACACATTCACAGAAGACGAGCCCCGGGACACCACTGGAAGCGACAACCACTTAAATTCTGGCGGCGACATCGTAACAGGCCACTAAATTAACATAAATTAAACTATCCTGTCCTAACCTGACATAACCTAATTTATCCAAACCGAACATAACTTAACTTAACTTAACTTAACCTAACCTGTCCTTACCGCACCAAACGGAACCTCACCACACAAAACCTAGCCTGAAATAACCCAAACATATTCTCGGATTTTCATAATTTTAAATTTTTCGTGATTTCAAAAAAATAAACTTAAAATTTCACAAAATTACAAATTTGTAAACATTTAAAAATCAAGAATTCCATAATCTTCTACATTTCCAAAATTTGTAAAAACCCACTTTAAATTTTAAAAAAAATCGAAACGTCAATCCAAATTTTAAAATTCACAATTCCTATATTCGAAATTCAAATGTTCAAAACCCATATCCTAACCCAAACTTTCAAAACCGAAACTAACAAACCTAACTTAACATGTCTTTACCGCACCTAACTTAAACTAACATGCCCTAAACCGATCTAACCTAAACTGTCCGGAATAGCTTAACACATATAACCAGCTTATTTTCACACCTATCAATGGTCACCAATGGTAAGCATTGCACACAAACAAATTCGGACTTCAACAGTTCCCACTTTGACCATCAGATCGCAGTACCTCAATGTCCACCTCACGAATTTCCTCATGCGTCATTTTGTTGTGACCGCTCATATTGCATTGCAAAGTTCGATTTTGAGATCGTGCGGAATGGCACAACCTCCATACCAAATATCACACCAATCCGTCAATGGTTCCCGTGCAGCAAAACCTGGACGGACAGACGACCAGTCCATAATGTGGTCCCCCCAAGCATTTCGTGTAAAAAATGCATAATAAGCTTCTAAAAGTATAGGAAAACAATAATAAATTCTTTACCAGTTTTGTAATACGCCGTCAACAGTATTTGTCATCTTGTGTAGTAAAGTCGACAATGTGACCAGTCTTTTTTTTTTGGGGGGGGGGGGGCCGAGGCCGGACGATCGCCTGTGGATTCAAATAACCTCGCGCCAGCCGTGCTGTCCACCAAATATTATTAAGGCGATGAAGTAAAAGTTGTTGTTCTTGTAGTAAGATGTAACACACAGGCGGGAGATGAGGAATGTGTACAAAGTTTTGGTCGGGAAACACGAGAGTAAAAGCCTATTTTGCAGGCAGAGTACTAGGCATTAATGGAAAGGTAAAGAGCGAGGGATTTCTCTACATTGTTTGCCTGGTAAACCAGCTGTCGGTCTATCATCTGCTCAAAACGTTCTCTACTTCGTGGAGTTGCAAGGTACAGGGTTCCCAAACTTCGTTAAGAAGAAGCAATTGGTCAGTATTTAGGCAGAACTTGCTTTCCTTCTACCTGCGAGAGAGTAACGTGGTCCCAGGTACAGTACACAATCAGCGAGCCCTGGTTACGACTCCTTAACATCACGAAGAGGGAAGATGAGGCAAGGTTTACGAAAAACATTCTCCGCGCATGAACATCATCCGCAGATGGCGACTGACCCTTAAATTAATCGCTCTAACAAAAAGAAAGTGGGTGTGATATCTAGAAACTGACACTGCTCGAAGCGAAACAACAGTTAACCTCAGAGTCTGTGCCCACCTTGAAGGAGGTTCTTTGACCCGGCCATGAAAAATTAACTCCGCCGTGAGATGCCAGTGACCCACATGAGACAAGATCTCAAGCCGAGTCCAACATTAATCCACTTCCTGTTGTACCACATCAGTGAAAACTCAAGTTGAGGCAATGGTTTATGAACGGGATATTGTAAACGCGGCTATTTAACTGAACCCGGGACCTCTTTAGAGCCTGTGCGTGCTTCACGGTTTGGTTTCTTTCCATTTCAAATATGAATTCAATCAAAGGATTTGAAAGTGGTTAGGCATACACAACAAATTATGGGTGTAAAACTACAGAGACGTTCCGTTAATAGGTCGAATCAACTACAGCTGTTGGTAGGCCCCACATTAAACAAAACAAATTTGCACGGCAGCACAGACAAACCATTGCATCTCGTATATCAAATCTAAAACTTCTTGACGATGGTGAAGAGTCAATTGAAAAAAATTTCCTTGGATATTATCCATCGTCTGGTAAATATAAAACGTAAAACGAAGAAAGACGTTTCGGAGATGGGACTCTATCTCCATTTTCAGGTTCCTACACAGTTGGGCCCGCTAGATAGAGCTAATCCCTATCTCCGAAACGTCGTTTTACGTTTTATATTTACCAGACGATGGATAATATCCGATGAAATTTTTATTCAATTGCATCTCGTGTATAAAAAATTCTAAAAACAAAATAAAGTTTAAATCCACAAACCAATTGAATTATTTTAAGTCAGGGCGAATCCGCGCGTTCGAAAGCCGTTAGAAGTAAAAATGATGAGGGTCACTTCAAATTGGTAATATCTTTGTTTCACGAAGCATGTGCTATTTTAATTCCTTCTACCCGAAAACTAATGACGCAGGCAAATCGCACAGATTCGCCCTGACTATACGGCAACGACAGATATTTTGGTAGTGAAATTTCTTTCGCCCCCCCCACCTGAAAACTGTAATTTTACGTCACTTGCATTTCCTCCACGACACATAAAGAAGAACGTAAAAACGTGGTGCACTACTCGATGGTGAGCACTCAGGCTGTCGTTAAAGCAGGAGACGATTCAAGAAGCACTTCATCCCTATTACGTGTCTATTTGTCCTGATCCGATATAAGCCTCATGTACGACGAAACAGCTTGATGGTTCCCTTACGGGATTCGTCTGTCATTTCCGCCATTGCCTAGGATACCGCTGGAGAGTCATGCAGAAGCTGGTTACCTACTCTACGACCGAAAGCGACAGTGGGCTAATTGAAATTAAACATAATTTCTCTAATTGAATTCTAATTGAATTCTGAAAGACATAAATGTAAGGCCAGCCTCGATATACAACACAGAGCGATGGTGAGATTACTTTTTTCTCATTAGTCCAGGTTTGCTAACTTCGTAGGTTATGCCACTGTTGCTCCCAGGTCTTCCAACTGACAATAAAAAGTAATGGTTTCCTCAGTTGATTCGCGAACGGACGTTTACAGAACTGGTAACCTAACCTAAACTAACCCAACCCAACCTAACCTAACCTAACCTAACCTAACCTAACCTGACCCCATTTCAGGCCGTTCCTTATAGATTCTTCTCCATTCACTTGCCACTGCTACCAGCTGACCAGTGACCAGGCATAATTTTGGGTTTTGGTTGGCTTGGGGGGGGGACAGACTGCGTTGCTCAGCTCAGTGTTGCATGCAAGGAAGAGGGCGTTCTTGTCACCACGGCCATCAGTCCAGAAGACTTCCCAACAGACTAACTTTCAATCTAAACTGGCAGTATATATAAATTTTAGTTTTCATCGTAATTTCAAACTCAGTCGAACTCGTTTATAACGAGCATGGTTACAACGAGATCTCGGCTATTACGAGCAAACAGAGGAGATTTCGTTGGAAATTATGTACTATAAGAGCAGAATTTCACGGTTAAAGCGGTCATCGCTGCCGATAGCAATTTCTAACCCCTTTAACGATATTTAAAGTCGACATTCACAGTGTGTTCTGGTTCGATTTCCGTTCTCAGAGTCTCATGTAATGCCGTAGGCTACTCGTTTCAGTGGAGTAGCTGAAATCCCCGCTGACCCTGCGTGGCGGGGGTGCCGATAGCCTACGGGGGCTCCCAGGTATCAGGGAAAATGTCACTTTTCCATAAGTATATATCTGTGTGCGTGTGTAAGATAATAGTAGTGAGTAACATTTTACAGTAACGGGTGCCGATAGCCTACGGGGGCTCCCAGGTATCAGGGAAAATGTCACTTTTCCATAAGTATATATCTGTGTGCGTGTGTAAGATAATAGTAGTGAGTAACATTTTACAGTAACGGGTATAACGAGTACTTTTCCTCGGTCCCTTGGATCTCGTTATAACAGACTCTGACTGTAAGCCACGTCCACTTTCCACCCAGCGTCCTTAACTAACCCTTCACATTTATCTCGTCATAAAAATCAATGATGGACTACGTCTTTGGCTGATACAGAATCTAATGGTAATACCCTGTCCAGGTAACAAAAGACGTTATTCAGTGCCATTAAGCAGCCATGCGAGAAAAATGTAGGTATATAAAATAAACGTAATTCTTGTCTCAATTCAACACAACATTCGAATCTACTGCACGGATTACGTAGCTCACCCTTACCACGAGATTTTTGTGATGATGGTAATTAGGTTGGTTTTAAAGATGTTTGGCGTTTTTAAACGTTTTAGTGAACGATAAGTTTGCCACAGGCTGATAACAGAGTTCTTTAATACATTTTAGAAAAATAATTAAATGTGTACGTTAACGGAAAAACTCAAAATAATTAATTACGGACCCAGCCCTTCTCTTATTAACTTACGGAATGCGCGCTGGTTCGAGTCTCGAGTGAGAAGAAATTTTCTCATGAGCTTTCGACCGGTGCCAACCCAGCATCGTGAGGAAAGTGGGGAGCTACAATGAGTAGCGTAATCCGGTCAGGAAAGCTAGCGATGGCTGGGGGTTCGTCGTGCTGACCACACGTCACCCTATATCTGGTTGGATGATCGTTCACCTCTGCTTAGGCATGTGAACGTGAGGCCAGCAGTCAAGCTAGTCGGTTTTGGCTCTCAGAGGGCTGTTACGCCACGGATTTAATTTTAATTTAATGGAGAAAAAGATACCTACACTATGATTCGTACCCGTGTTCAAAGTCTTACAAAAATCTAAATAAATTATTTTGATGCCCATGTTTCCTGTTTTTAAAACGGTACAGTATTTGGAGTTGGGGAGATCTGACAACCCAATAACTTACATACTTCACAGGAAAAAAAAAAAAGTTTTCTGCAACACATCTGCACTGCATTTCGGTAACCAAAAATATGATAATGTTCTTGAAAATCAACTCTAAACGCAGTAAAAATATTTCGTAAGAACCGAAACATTTTGAAACAATCTACGTGACCTGTCTGCGAGCATATCAGGAAGTACGTACCTTAAGAATGTTTAAAATCCTTAACTTCAACTTGCCCTAAATTACTGTGGAGGCGTTTACTCCTTGTGTCATTGGGAGTCGGCCTACAAAAAATATCTTTCGTGAAAACAGCTTTTGGTACGTTCATTACGTAGGTAACCAGAAACCCAACATTCATGGAAGCGTTAAGGGTCAACAGTGAAAGAACAAACACATAACTAATGTTGATAAAAGCCCCAAATGACTACTGCTTTAAAAGCAGCTACCATTTCGGAAAATAAACTTTTACGCATTTCAGTCACAATCTCAGAACAAAAGTACTTCGTGCACGTAGAAAGAAAGAGAGAAATAACTTACCGAATGTTCATCCTAGGAGTCAGCAACGCAGAGATGCTTGGGGGGACGTATTTGATTGATTATGAAGGCGACTTCTCTCAAGCTGACGATCGAGTATGAGGGCAGGAATTGCGTCATCCAAAGCCCGGAGGTGCATCTTCTCCACGTCCAACTTCAAAGTCCGCGTTAGACAACGCAGATCACAGTTTGACCCTAAAAAAAAGAAATAAATACGTTCACAATGAAGACACACGCCGGCTACTCTCAGACGCCACCATTCGACGATCTCAGACACAAACCGTAATTACAAAACGCGCAGACGTATAAAGAACTGGACGTGATAAATGATGCAAGAATAAATCAAGAAGCCGGCATCGAAACCTTGCCTGGGATCTCCCAAATACGAAGTGATGGCTAGTCCGGGAAAATGGCAGTCGCCTGAGAAACTTACAATTTTACATAAATGGGCACTTAGTCTGAAGGGAATATATTCCCGCAGCATGAAATGCATTTAATTAAAGACATTCTATGAAGTGTTAACTGAAGAAGTATTGCCCACCCCTGGGGGATATAACGGTCATTATTTAAACTTCAGGATGTCACTGAAGTCAACAGGGCAACGAGTGGATAAAGTGTGTTTGATTAGAAATTAATGATCACGTATGCAGCCAAGTCGTCTTAATGTATAAATTCCAGGCGAAGTTTACTCGGTTCGGATATTTAAATCAAAAGAATTACATAACATGAACAGAGCCATCTTGTTAACTACACCAAAAGCAGTAGATGGCAGCACCAGTTGAAAGAAGCTGCTGTCATTTGTCAGAAAAGCACATGGCCGCCATAGCCCACCCACTCTCGTTTGTGCTCGTTAAGAACATGCATCCTTATTCTTCACAGCGCTCATGTCATGGAACGTCGTGTTTTCAATATGGACAGGAAACTACAGACATATTTCACATACTGACCAAGGACATCTAAATAGAACTTACAAAATATACTTGCCTACTAAATAAACGTAAAGCCCTACAAACTTTGACCTTGTTAAAATTTGGTTATGAAACTTCATAATTGCTTAACAATGCGCCTGCGTGTTGGCATCATTGCACAATTGCACAAAGCAACCAGAATATAGTCTATAGATTTGAATCCACTGCTTCAAATCAAAGAGTGTACGGCCAATGTGCACAACCATTCAAAACGTAGCAGGCCTAACACTTCTCATATATTGATATTCAATGCCAAAATTTACGGAATATTCCATTTAAAAAGCAACCCCAAATGCTACACATGAACCCCTTCATGCAAAATACGACGAAGCCAATGCCAACGTTAAACTTTTGTAGCTGATTCACTACTTGAAATCAGTACATCCATAACTTCGACTCACGTACCACGGTGGAGGCTCAGAGAGTGTTAACCAGGGGTTAAATTCTTTCTGGTTTCATTTTTGTAGCACAGTACGTGATTTTTGACTTGCGTTTTAAATGACACACCCTGTATCATGGCAACGAAAAAGACTTTTGGTTACAAACAGTAGCTGTGTTCTGTTGCAGAGTATCGCCGATGTGGTGAAGGACACGTCCTTCTTCACCAGGATGGGTATCAACCTACTGGCGGGACAGACTAAATCAGAGGGGCTGGTCACCATCACCGCGCGAGATTTCATGTTCGGCTACAAGAACCCGCTGGTGACCCTCGGCAACAAATTCATGCCGACGTGGATCAAGTTCGACAAGCTGGGGCTTATAGACAGGGTGAGTCACATCCCATGGTCTGACACCAGTTCCGTTCACTCTGGTGATTCAGACGTGCCGCTAACGGGAATGTTGCCTTGTCCAGATGTACGACTTCGACGGCGACTTCTCGACGGTGTACACGGGCGAGACGGACGTGCGGAAGTCCGGCCTCATCGACACGTACAGAGGGTCACCGCTGCTACCCCACTGGAAGGGAGAACACTGCAGTAACGTGAGGGGAGCGAGTGACGCCACCAAGTTCCCGTCTCTCCTACAACCCAACGACACCGTGTACTTCTACCGGAAGTCCGTCTGCCGGGCAATGCCCACGGTACGCTTCTCACTGTTATTACCGCGACTGCCTAATGTCTGCGCTGATAATTTCGTTGTGAGAACAGCAGCAGTTCATAACAAAATTCATGCCGTCACTGTCGACTTACAAGACGACAAGATAAATGGGTCTCACTGAAATACGACAGTAAAGTTGTTCATCAGTGAGTATATCACTCTAGTGTCGCGTCTACCTGGGACAGAGTTCCCGAAGACATTCAAAAGGAAGCCAGGTGGGTCCAGGAAGAGAAAATCACAGCCTATGCCCGGAATCTAATCCAATCAGCGAGTTCGTAATGTGTCTCTTTACCGACTGAGCCACCGTGGTTAATTAAGTAATCAGTGTGAGATTTGAGGTGGGATGCAAATGGGTGTCTTCTGGGTTGTTACGTCGTGCGATTGCCCTGATGATGAAGGCAGCAAGTTCCTCTAAAACGTTGGTAAACGTCTACCAGACTACACGGCGCAACAACCCAGAAGACAACTAATATGTTCCATCCTGAATGTAAATTTACTGCACAAGGCAAGGTCTTGCGGTGAAGGGCTCTGTTCGTTATCCCCTTTGATGGTCTCATTACGCCACATAACACGTCAATCTGTCGGTCTGTCTCAACAGATTTTCGGAGTTAATTCAGTAACGTGGCAGAGGGACACTCCAGAAGTAAATGAACGCAACAGAAAACATTCCACGTAGAGAGAATAAACAATCTCACCAGGCCAAAGATTCACTGCAAGCGATAGGTTACGTAATTAGCATAAGGCGGTGGAACGGTGGTTAGCATTCTCTCTCCTCGCAGCTGAGAGGTCCTCGGCCCGAATATGCAAACGGTTCTTTTCAAAAGGATGTTCTTCTCGGTTTTGACGCCATGTCGGCTCATAGGTCGATGCCTCGTCATCCTCATCGCCGGAAAAATATCGCGGTTTTCCCGAGGCTATCCAAAATCTTCCCCCCCCAAGAAAAACTGCAAGAACAGAGCCATGACCACCCCCTTTCACGTACGTCCAGTTGTATCATCCATAACTCGATAAATAAATCACGCAGTTGGTAAAACGTGGTTAAAGTACAGAAATAAGCGTTAATTTTAAATCTGTGAACCGTGATAACTTCGCTGAAAGGTATGACGCATTATTCAGTGATTATCATAAAATTATATATTTTTTTAAAATTTTACGTACCCCCTAAGATGTCTTCGCGTACCCCAGGTTGAATACCACTGCTCTAGATTGTACGATTCTACGTTCCATTTCAGAGGTTCACCAATGAAATGAAGACAATTATGGGCCTGCAGTCATATCGCTTCACGTTCCCCAACAACAGCCTGGACAACGGGGAAGTGATCCCGGAGAACAAGTGCTTTTGCCGTAATGGCAAGTGTTTGCCAGCAGGACTCATTGATGTACAAGACTGCTACTATGGTGAGTACAGACGCAGTCCAAGGAGATCAATCACGAACCCTAAGGTAACCCTCAGGCCTGACCCAACTTCAACCACGAAACTGGCTTTTTGTTCCACTCAGTATTAATATATCTAGCCTGCATTATGCAGATACAGAAGAAAACGAAATGAATATTGAACTTGGAGGAACTGCTGTATACTTCAGACATTTGACTATACCACAGTGTAAGATAATAAATAAGGACATATCACATTTTCTGAATGGATTCTCAGTCTTCAAAACATTACAATAACAACAGATATACTAGACTGGAGTTGGTATAATTCAAGCACTCTTTGGTATAACTTTGAGTTTGTGGATCCTCAACAGAGCAGATCGACTTCATTGTGTATTTCTTGGCAATAATTCCAAAAATTACAATTAAACTCCTGCCTCGAGTCACTAAAAAGTTTTCTTCTTAAACTGGTGCATGTTCTTGAACATTCTCCTTCGTCTATCTGTAAAGCAGTCACGGTTTTATCTCTTTATTATAAGTTCTTTGCATGATGTGTTTTCAAATGAGCAAATATAAGGCTTATCGCATGTTCAACTTGACAACCAGTGAACGCATTTTGACGAAATTTGGTATGGGCATTATTCCACTGTACTCTACTAGTACTATACTTCTGTAAAACAATATGGCACCTTGTATGCAGGTTTTCCCATCGGTGTGTCATACCCTCATTTCTACCAGGGCGATCCGATGCTAGTGGACGCCGTGGAGGGTTCACATCCTGACAAGCAGAAGCATGAGTCACACTTCTACATCGAACCTGTAAGGTCCACAGATTTAAATTCCTCCTTTTGAACTGAATATCATCCTGGAGCTCTTGCATGCCTCTCAGAGTTTAATAATAACTTTAAGACATTAATTTAATCTCAATGAGCTTGATGATAAAATTGCATACAACTTGATAATTATACTTAAATAAATACGTAACCAAGGATTGAACCGCATCATACACACAGGATTCAAATTTTAGGACTCCTTTGAATCCTCATTCAGTTTACAAATTTGAAATACATAAATTACCAGAATATGAAAATTCTAGTTGTTAATATATAGAAATTTGTGTTTCTTAATTTAAAAATTAATTCTTTAAAGAAGTTTCTTTTTCTTTTCGTGTGTGTGTTAACAAAGATAAGCAATCCATTTAAAGTATTTCTAAAGAAGATTACGCTTATAATCTAAATATGTCTTGCAAATTTTCTTAACTTTGTGCCATCGATAGAAAAGCTGGACATCACTTCCAGACAAGCATAAAAACTGAGTCTTACTTCCATTGCATACAATAAGTACAGAATGTCCAAGAAATTCTGACAAGGCCTACTGCATAATATCTTTAATATTATCAATTGGAACACATAGAAACCTTAAACTGCATGCGCTCATAATAGCACCTGATAACTGCACGGCCTTTACTTTTCAAATATTTATTGCAGAAATCAGGTCTGCCTCTGGACGTAACGGTGCGATTCCAGATCAACATGGTACTTGGTGACGTCAGTGGAATTACAAGAGCTGCCAAGTTTAGCGACATGGTGCTGCCAATGTTGTGGACTGAATTTGTAAGTAATGCGCACACAACATTTTTTACACGACCTTACAAATGTTGCGATTCAGTGGTTAGCATTCCTACTTTGCATCTGGGAAGTCCTGGATTAAAATTTCAGCCTGCGGGCTGGCTATCCTTGAGTGTCTTTCGTGGTTTTCCTCAGTCCCTCCAGGCAAATTATAAGGCAGTATCTTACATACTTCCTCCCATACCCTTTTTAATTCGTTATTCGTTATGCCACGGTGGTCTAGCGGTTCACACACAGAAGAAGGCAATGGCAAACCACTTCTGGATCATCTGCCAAGAACGTATATGAACAGGTCCCAGTCCGAGAAAAGGATGGAAGGATCCTGTTCATACGGACCTGTCGGCAGACAGAACACTAAATAATAATAATAAGATGAGGTGGTCTAGCGGTTAGAACGCTGGCCGCAATGTCAAACCACTTCTGGATCATCTGCCAAGAACGTATATGAACAGGTCCCAGTCCGAGAAAAGGATGGAAGGATCCTGTTCATATGGACCTGTCGTCAGACAGAACACTAAATAAATAAAATTCATCAACAATCCCATCAACGCCATTTACTTTAAGCTACTGATAGCCTTGTCAAATACATTATAAATAAAAAAACATAAGTTTTAATGGGACATGAAAACTTGCTCATATTAAAGTCTGTTTACTGCATAAAGTCCAATAAAGTGCTAATGTTACATATGGCCATCAACTCATAAGGAATCACCTTCTCCTTCTTGCAACGTTATGGCCCTATGTGGGTCTTAGCTTGTTTTGTTTCTACCTGGTACATACACAGTCCCCTTAAACACGTCATCGCTACAGCACATCAAGAACTTCTGCAAAGTACATGAAACGTAATTGTGCAAAAAATCACCTGTAGTGCCTCGGGGAGGGAGTTTAATTCTTTCTTGAGGTCAGTGGTATAAATGGCGACGTTCCGAATCCAGGCAGTTAGTCGCGTGGCTTGAGGAAATGGGCAAGGTTGTGCATTGGTGAATAAAAAACACGTGTACGCGTACAAAGAACAATATCCAAAGAAATACTGCCAACAATATGACGCACAGTCATCGGTCAGTGATGTGTTGCAGATATTCTCTGTTAAAGAAAGAAAGAAATTGAAGAAAATATATGGAAATTTGGGAGGCAAAAAGTTGAAAATGTTGCGGAACCATTAGTTACGTGGATGGCACAAGTGAATTAAACCAATTAACTGAAATTTATAAAGTTATTAAGGAACAGAATAAATTTACCGGACAGCAGACGGGCGTGATTAATTTTGTATATATTCGTAAAAATTGATATATATTTTGCTCCAAGAAACATCATCATAGCAAAGCACATTGCTGTATGGCATAATACACGGTTTAGGTAGAACCTATTATAAAAGTTATGAGTAATTAGTTCAGATACATAATACAGAATTTTGTATTTTAAGAACCTATTATAAAAGTTATGAGTAATAAGTTCAGATACATAATATAGAATTTTGTATTTTCTTTTACGCTCAACATATTACATACGATACTTCACGTAGCATCTGGTACCATTAAAAATAAATACAACGAAACATAAGAAATTTTAATTTTCTGTAATCTCCACTTTAATGCCAAAACTGATGGTCAATAAACAGTGACACTTTTAAGGGGTTTAAACATATTCAGAAGACAATCTGAATACTTTTACCCTGAAATCAGACCCAAATTGAATTTTAACTTACTCAAATGTTTCGATCATACGTTCAGCTTTTAACAACTATTAAAAATATTTGTGTCACACTAATCAAACCTGACAGCTTCATTTACCTGTAACATGGCAATGACAATTCATCCATACCAGACATAACAATTGTAAGGTGTTGTAGATGCGTCATATTGTGAATTAATAGTATTAAAATATTTAAATATTTAAAAATAACCGTCAATCACAATAAAATTAAAAGATTAAAATATCATATTATGTTCCCTATCGAGTACTCGATTTACATATGGAACTTACACAACATGTTTCGGCTATATGTAGCCATCTGATTCAGTGGTATCACCTCCAAAGAGGATGCCAAGCTTACAATGCAGTGATTTTGGACAATTCGCAGTAAGTAGGGGTCTTCCTCCAGTTAGATTTCCATGAATCAATTATCAAAGCCTTGTGTGTGAGAACGGGTTGCATCGTGCAGAGGTGAGGCTGGCAGCGAGACAGGAGACGTTTTCTACTTTGCATGTGACCAACAAGGCCAGAACACACAAATGAAGAATTTTTTTTATAATTTTCAGATAAAATTGCAATCATTTCTGCGTAAGGAATCAAACAGTTTCCTTCAATATGGCATCACCTGTTTCCTTAATGGCAGGCTGATAGTTCATAATGTGGATAGTTGGTGCATCTTAATCTTCAGAATCACGTCTATCTACAGCTAAAGCTTAAATGTTTAATTAATTATTCTTGTCCGTCTAATCACAATTTAAAATTTAAAATTAAGATAATTAAAATATCATGTGATGTTCCTTATCGAAACATTCGATTTACATTTAGAACATCTTTTTCTTACGACATGTTTCGGTTCTTAAATTTTAAATTGTGATTAGACGGACAAGAATAATTAATTAAATATATATCTCCACAATATGACGCAACTATACCATCTTAACAAATGAACTTGTTTTATTGTAGCGAATGTCCAAACTTCCGGAAGATCTCAACAACCGTTTCATCCTGTACTTGAATGTTCTGCCAGTGGTTGAGAAAGTGCTGATGTACTTGCTGTTCAGCACTGGCATCATGTTTCTGCTAGGTAGCATATCGCGCATCCTCCTACTCAACAGAGACCTTCAGAAGAAGTCAGCTAATATGGACTTCAGTAGTGGGAACTCTCGGGAACTGAAGCGAATTCACATCAAGAACACGAAGGCCAACGAGAACAGACCCAGCTCAGATAAAGTAAAAGAGGCGGAGGCATTCTACAGTTCACTTCTTATAGCAGCAGAATCTGACGACGTCCCCGAGGACAACCTGAACAGCACAGAGATGGACATACTAGCAGGTGGCGCATCTAACATCATAACTCCAGGTTCAGATGAAGGTATTGATAATTACAGCTGTGACAATACTGAAAAGCCTCCACCCCAGTATGATCTGATTAACTTAGCTCTACTGAAGGAGGCCATTGTGTGACTTGAAAGCAAAGTTAGTTTGGAAACTTGTTTGACTTCCTTGATAGGCATTCGTTCTTAACTCAGGAATATTTAGAAGACTCTGAAATATTTCTACAACAGACATTAACCCTAACTTTGTGGATATTATTCCAGCAACGGTTTGCCTTCAAGAGAAGTAGTATAAATGTGCTTTAATTGTGAGATAAATCTCCACAACTATCTTACAACTGTGTACAAGCTCTGGAATCGAAGCCACTTTGATTTAAACAAAAAATGACTTTACGTCTGTCTGTCTGGCATATGGCTTCTCCTGCAGACTCTTGCCCAGACTGACAATCAATCAATCAGTCAGTCACTGAAGATTAGCGATGGAAAGTTTTGTTATGTTATGTCGTGAGATTAGTGCGGACTGTGGCACAGGACAAGGTTGTGAGTGCTGGTGGAACCAGCACAAACGGAGTACTAGTAGTGTAGTTGTACGTGGAAGAAATCCAGGGTCAGAAAGAGACTCCCACAGAGTTATTAGAATTAAAAACCTGGATAAAGTTAGTAAAGAAGGTCTCCATGATGACACAAGAAGTCACAGACCCTGGTGAAGTTCCTGCCAAATTAAAAAGAGTTTCAAGGAATGAATGATGGCTTTGTCCACAATAGCAATTATATTTCAAGTGTCATTACGGAGCCATCACACGTAAGTACAATGGCTTATCAGGCACAGAGTACTGAACATTTTCCAGTGTAGATCTCAGTACAATAGAGAACTTCTTTCATTAGACATGTTTTAAATCTTTCCACTCAAAACATCAAGTTGTCTCCCCTACAATAAATCGAGAAGAATGATCCACAAATTACAAACTTCCGATATATTATACAGATCACCACTCAACATTCCACACAGCTTAAATTAATCGATATATATATTTGAGAGAATATATACTTATAAAAATTAACAACTACTAAACAATACCACAACTTAAATTGGATAAAAATTTGACTGTCTTTTGAAATCATGCATTGTATAGTCTGGTAGATCATTACCAATGTTTAAGAGGTGTTTGCTGTCTCGCACACAGCATCCCTGAAGACAGTCATTGCAGTGTGAACCTAAAAATCTCACTGAAATTGATTACATTCACCAAACGAATGATACGATGGGGTGAGTCATGGTTATCCTCCATCAACCTACCTTGGCACCTCATAAATGCAAATCCTGCGAACCATGAAAGATAGTAGCCCTGACATAATGTTCAGGCTAATACTTGTATGGTGGTCATCAAACTAAGTCCCCCAAACCACAAAGACTCTCTAGAACTTTCATAATCCATAATCTCACAGTGACATGAAACTCCTTACGTCATTTGGTTTGTAACACTATTTTGCTTAGAAAACATTTTCGAGGAACATTCCACCACTATCATTTTGCCAAAGAACATGCTGCTGTAACCCAAAAGGAATCAGCAATTAACTAGTATTGTCATAAAATACTGTCAAAGTACAGAGCTTTCTAGTAAATATTGTGATGAAGATTCATTGTCCTCCGCGTCCCAACCTGTACGCAGCTGTCAAAGTTACAGATCTGTAGAACACAGAAAACCTGCCTGCATTAGATGACATCTTCTAGTGATAACGATATAGTGTTCTAACTCATAAGAAGCTTTACAAAATGAAGGCCTAAGTTCAAAGTCCAGGCCCCCAAGCAAACATTGTGCCTCGGTTACAGGACTGCTTGGGAAGAACTTATGACTCAGTATTGTATTTTGTCGCTAAAAGACACTTCAGATTTCTAAACAAATCAGGCTAAAGTAACTTCTGTGACAGTCGTAGTTTTCTCCGTGTACTGGTAAAACTGTCAGTATCATCACTTCATCAGTTTACTCAGTGTTCGTATTTGATTTACGTATCAACATTCATCACAGTACTGTTTGGATGAGAAACATTTTTAATGTCCAAGAGTGGGGCATCAGTTATTTGTGCGTTTCTCAAATCTCAGTTCAACGGCACAACTTACAAAAGGAGAAGTGTTGTTTGCATAATCATTTACTGATCAAAGTATTCTACGTAACAGAACCCATTATACGAGGCTCGTCCACAAAGTAAGATTTCCTGGGGCCGTTTACAGAAACAAAACACAATTTCATGGGAATATTTATTGCAACAGATACAGCAAGTGTCCAGCTATTTTTCAACATATTCGCCACCGGAATTGAGACATTTGTCATACCGTGGGACCAACTTTTGAATACCTGTGTCGTAGAAGTCTGCCGCCTGGGATGGGACCCACTGTGTGACAACCATCTCCGCCTCTCTGTCATTCTCAAAACGCTGACGCTGACCGGACAGGAATTTCTTGAGGTGTAGGAAAAGATGGAAATCACTGGGAGCGAGGTCCAGGTTGTAGGGTGAATGATTAAACACCTCCCAGCTAAACTCCTGCAGGAGACTTGCTGTCCGTCGAACCGTGTGCGGCCTAGCGTTATCACTGACCGCACTTCACAGTCAGCGGGAGCTGGAATAAGAACCTCCATCTTCAACAGCTGCAACGATGCTACTGGGAGAACGCGGGAGGTGCCGTTAGTGCATGCGCCATGCTACGTCATTGCTCTATCACGTACGCACAGTCGCTTCGCGCAATATAAGGTTTGCTAGCTGTGGGACGAGTGGGAAACTTACTTTGAGGACGCGCCTCGTAAATCTTTACCAGAACAGTTGTTACAGAAATTCGAAAATAGCAATTTGATGTATGCTCCAAATTTCAGCAGCCTACGCGAAATTTACAAATAAATTACTAGCTATTCTGCATAAAATGCTTCATTAACTAATACTATATGTAGAAGAATCTGAAGGTTCAACATCTTCAGCGAGTCCCATTTATCTATCCATCGTAACGTATTCTCCAGAAATTCAATTTTTATTTTAAACTTATCTCTTTTTTTTTGGTCTTCCAAATGACCATGTTTCGAAAGGTTTCATCAGAAAATTGTGTGGATTACTTTAGACAGCTAGTTGTAGCCTGCTGCAGCTCATTGTCTTAACAGCAGCTGGTGCCTCGTGTAAACCACCACTGTCATCTAAAAAGGTATCGATTTATTTATATAGGCTACGAGGCTCGTCCTTAAAGTAAGTTTCCCTGGGGCCGTTTACAGAAACAAAACACAATTTCATGTAAATATTTATTGCAACAGATACAGCAAGTGTCTAGCTATTTTTCAACATATTCGCCACCGGATTTGAGACATTTGTCATACCGTGGGACCAACTTTTGAATACCTGTGTCGTAGAAGTCTGCCGCCTGGGATTGGAACCACTGTGTGACAACCATCTCCGCCTCTCTTTCATTCTCAAAACGCTGACGCTGACCGGACAGGAATTTCTTGAGGTGTAGGAAAAGATGGAAATCACTGGGAGCGAGGTCCGGGCTGTAGGGTGAATGATTAAACACCTCCCAGCTGAACTCCTGCAGGAGACTCGCTGTCCGTTGAGCCGTGTGCGGCCTAGCGTTATCACTGACCGCACTTCACAGTCGGCGGGAGCTGGAATAAGAACCTCCATCTTCAACAGCTGCAACGATGCTACTGTGAGAACGCGGGAAGTGCCGTTAGTGCATGCGCCATGCTACGTCATTGCTCTATCACGTACGCACAGTCGCTTCGCGCAATATAAGGTTTGCTAGCTGTGGGACGAGTGGGAAACTTACTTTGTGGACGCGCCTCGTATGTATCTTTATGTTTATTGTTTATGCCATTTCATACGTCACTGTAATGTTTTAGTAATTACATCACTCTTGATTATCTGTGATAACGGAGTCAGAGAGAAGCGTGATTTCTTCGTGTCCGAAGTAATCTAACAAATTTTTGGTCCATTCGTCTTTAGGTCAATGGCCGATACATTTTCCAGGGATTATAGCGACATCTTTATTTTCAGAGCGCCAACTTCCGTTTGCCCTGTCTGTCCTTTGCCAACCTCATAATTTCATTGTCACTAAACTGACCTGGCTTCATACAGTAGATTTCAAACCATTCTCAAAAATTGTTATTGTTGACATTTTCACAGCCCAATGTATATTTGAAGACGGTGGCTAACTTGCCTACCGAGATCTCCTCTTCTTCAGAACCTACGCATTCTTCTTTCTAAATGTCAGGACAAATTTTCTTGCAGTAACCACATTTTATTCCTTTCGTACCTCAGAAATAGAATGTAAGACAGTTGCTATTTTAATTTTAAAAATATTAAGATATAATTACATTGAAAAAGGCGTCGTCTATACAGCTTTCTATTCATGGCAATCACGCCCTGGTCCTGGGATAAAAGATTAAAGTGAAATTAAAATGTTCAAAATGTCCTACAGTGGGAAAAACATCACTGTTGATCCACAGAGCAGATAATCAAGAGTCCATGGTATTTAAATATTAATAAATATTTATTTATAAACCAATTTATTGATATTCTCCTCAATTCAGAGCATAAATACCGTCTATGACAATGAAATAAGATTGTGAACTTTTCGACAACGAAAGTAGTACTGAAATCCAACACATCTAACACTTCAGGCACGTGATGAATGC